TATTGATTTGTTTGCTCTCTTCTGGTTTTAACTCCTTGTTCGCCACCCAGAATCCCAGCAGTGGGACGGGCAGCCACATAAAATGCTTAAATGAATAAATCAGGGCACCTGCTGGCTCTGCCTCTGACGCCACCAGGGGCAAGGAAGCATTGCGTGGACAGACCTGTCCACTCAGAGCAGACCTCTCACAGGGGCTGCATTTGCACAACGCTGGGACCCGAGTTAGCAAAGCACCCTAGGTGTGTTCATGTCACACGCAACACGCAATGGCAAGAACCGGCCAGCAAGTCCCCCGGCCTCTTTGGTCTGGCCGGGAGGGGTGTGCGTGCCCGCCGGGTTGGCAGCAGAGCCCTCCCTTTCTCGCTGTTCCTCCCACGGCAGGGACTCAGTCTGTGGTTCAATCTGGCCAAATTCAGAGGGACCCCCGGTGCAGTGCAGGGCGGGCCAGGTTGCTTGCTGCCTCCCCCCAAGCCCCAGGAGGCATCTTGGGCCCCGGGGGCCCTGGGGTGCTTCTCATTGCAGGACTGAACAAGGAGCACTTTACGGGTGTCCTGTGTGAGGATGACAAAAAGCCCCTGGGCGGGATGGAAATGCCCACTCCCTATCCAAAGAACCCTGGTATCCGGTCCTCAGCATTCACTCCCCGACTCTGCCCATTCAGGTCATCAACTTCGTTTTTTTATCCCTCTCTCCCTTCCTCCTCCAAGCTGCCCCCCTCAACTGGGCGCTGGGGGGGTGGAGGGCTGGATCAGGCCCCTTCTGAGAAGCTCCTGGTCAGCCCCGCATCTCTCCCTGGAGGCTCGGAAAACCACTCCGAATAACGTGGAGGGCGAACAGAGGGCAGACGGGTTCAAGGGCGGCCTTTCCCACAGCCCTTGCTGATTTATGCTGCGCAGAGAGGCCACGCTCCAGCGTCACGCCCCTTTGCCCGTCGCGGTACGAGGCCAGAAAGAATGAGACGGCTCCCTCGCTTCGCACTGGCAAGGCAGCTCCTCTGCACCAGGGACCTCGCCCGCCACCCATTCCCAAAGGCAAGCACGCTTCCAGCTCCATGCTTGCACCTGAGTTGTAGCGTGCTGGCACTCAGAAACGGAGCTGCAAATTGAATCTGCCCCTTCATTCCCCCCCAGAGGGAGAAGCAAACACTCCCACTGGTTGCATAAGGCAAAGGCCCTGTGGAGCGGGGGGCTCTTGGAAACGCAGCCCCCACCTCACCGAAGACAGTCAGGGTGCCCACGCTGGTCTCTGGGATCTGCCGGTTCCTCCTCCTTTTATGCCCGTTCCCAAAGACTTGCCTTAAACCCAGAGTAGTCCCAGGACACGCAACGCTTGTGGAAAGAACAGCACGACAGTCCCAAAGCCACAACAGAAGGAAGGAAAGCGCAGCCAATCCTGCGAAGGGGATCTGAGGGCCGCCCAGGCCTCCGGGGGCCACTTGGCCTGCAAAGCCCCGAAGGTCCCCGGGAGCCACAGCTGCAGGCCCCCGAGTTGTGCCTGGAAACCTCCTGGGGGCAACACAGCTCTTGCCATGGGGGGGTTACGGGGCCATCACGGGTCATGCCCTCCAGCACACAGGCTGTGGCACTCTGCGCTGGCAACAGCTCCGGAGCAGGCCCACGGACGTGCAGCGTGCCAACCAATGCAGTGAGGATGGGGGCCAGCCTGGGGCATCAGAGTGCCCTGGCGCCACCCCTCCAGGGCAATCTGGCCCAGCGGCAGCACAGCGCAGCCACACTGCCCGTGGCTCAAGCGCCGACTGAAGGGTCCCTCCGGCAGGAGAAGGTTATGGGAAAAGGAGCCCAAACAGGGCAGCTCCTCCTTTCCAGGGGCTCTTCCACCACAGAAGCCCAGCGGCAAGCGGGTCGGGTGAGAAAAAGTCGCAGAGGGTGGCCGGAGGGGCAGGGAAAGCCCAGTGAAGGAACGAAGGCAGAGCAGCAGCAGAAGGAGGGCTGGTCATCAAAGCAGAAGGGAGGAGAGCGCAGCAGCCGTGGAAGCAGCCGAGGGGAGAAAAGGGCACTCAAAGCATCAAAAAGGGCTTTTGGGGAACGGCCAGGCCAGAAGGCAAAGAACCGACACGCAGGCTGCTGAGGGAAGAAGGCAGAGCAGCGACAGAGGGGAGGCAGAAATGCCCGGCCCCCCTTGCCTCTCCCCCTCAACAGACGTGCCCACCCCCCCAAGCAACAGGGAAGAGCAGAATCCCAGGCAGGAGGGCAGCTGGGGGCCGGCAGAAACGGGACCGGGACCGGCTCTGCGCTTGGCACGAGCTGCACCCGAACCTGCGCCTAAGTTCTGGGAACTAAGAAGAATGCGGAGGAAGGGGCCCGGGCGGCGGGCAGCTGGACTGGGTGACCCCCGGGACACCTCCCGAGCCTTACTTCCGTGGTGCTAAATTAGAGGCCTGGAGAAGGGCAGGAGGGGGGAGGTGAAAGGCGCTGGGGGCCTTTCGCCTTGAGCAAAGGTGACCAAGGGGGACGTGCCAGCGAAGCCCTCCCTCTCCCTACAAGGGCTTCGCATCAGGCAGGGCAACACCCGGTTTCTCTCCTTCCAGAGGGAAGGACGCAACGTGTGGATTGAAGGGAGGGGGGACCTCAGTGGAACGCTAGGAAAAAGACTCAGGGGTAGCCATGACCCCGAGGGGTCGAGGCCCCCTTCCCAGGAGGGGTTCAAGGGAGGTTGGTGCAGCCTTCGGTCAGGAAAGCTTTAATTTGCTTAAACTTTTATATTATTATTTTACGTTTACTCCCCAGATTTGGTGGGTTTCCTTCTTCAAACAAGCAGGAAAGAGACCCCCAATTGTTGGGGGAAGGTTGGGGGGAGGATCTGGATGTGGCCTTTGGGCCACAGTGCCCACCTCCGCCCTGGGGCAGATGCTGCAGCCAACAGCCACGATGCCCTTCTGGACTGGCTCTGGCTACAGCCTGGCACGCGGCTTCCTCGCTCTGCGCTAGGACTACCAGAGGGTGCTGAGCCTCAGACAACTCTCCCACCAGCAGTGACCTCTGGGGCTTCAGGCCCTGCCACAGGAAACCCCGCGTGCATCAGTGCCAGGAACAAAACAGGTTCTTCTGGAAACCGCCCTTGTTTCCAGGAAGGTCTACCCAAATGGAGGACCTTGGAAAGGAAGAGGTCCCCCACTCTTTTTTAGATTTTTTGTCCCGCCTTTCTTATTTTTATGAATAACTCAAGGCAGCGAACATACCCAACACTCCTTCTTCCTCCTGTTTTCCCCACAAC